AAGGAATGTTCTCAAATCCTCTCCTGCCACCTGGGATGCGTGTATAAACCTTGCACTCACGCCATGGAGGAGGACCACACCTCACACAGACGCACTTGTAAATATAAAACCTCTGTTTCAGGCTGTGACTCTGGGCTCAACGCAGTCTTCCCTTTCAGATCTCTGCAAATGGCTTTGTTGCCGAGAAAAGAAGAAGCCGCATTCGAGTGGAAATCGGACCCTAGTCCAAGCATATTGCTTGCTATTAATCACCAAAACAGGACTGCCAGGGAGGAATGTATTGCATATGTTTGCAAAAACAGAAGCTTTTGACACTGTCCCTTGACATTCTCTCTGGACATGGCAGGGCCAAGAGTGTGGATGTGCTCTGGCTTTTGGAACTTAGGTATTTTATATTTTCCCCCGTATTTTTTTTTTTTTAAATGGATCTGCTGTCCTCCTCTGTCATTTGCAGGACTGCCTCGGTGGCTTTGTTTGTTGGGACAAGATCTACAACCTGTGCCTCTTCCTTTTCACCCTTACTTTGAATTTCAAAAAATCTATTTAAGAATTTAATATATGAGACTTTCTTTGATTTCTCTCCCACTTCTACTCCGTTTTAACAGAGAAAAAGAATTATTTGAATAAAGTGATCAGAGTCTCATTCGTCAATGCCGTACTTCACCAAGTGAACAGATTTCTGTGCCCGAGTTGAGTTGTCACATGGATGGGTGACAAGCAGAAGCCGGAGAACATGTCCATACGAGGGACAGCTGAACACCCCATGTCAGGCTAGTGGTTTGCTGGGACTCAGAGGAACTGTCGTAGTCATGGTGGTCGGTGAGATACCAGAGAAAAACCAGGTCAGGGAGAAGCCACACAGAGGCCAGGCTGTTTCTCTCTGCCCTGTGGAGTCTTTTTTTGGTACCTGGGATTAAACTCAGGGGCACTCGACCACTGAGCCCCATCCGCACATCCCCAGCCCTAGTTTGTACTTCATTTAGAGACAGGGTCTCACTGAGTTGCTTAGGGCCTCGCTGTGGCTGAAGCTGGCTTTGAACTTGAGATCCTCCTGCCTCAGCCTCCTGAGCCTCTGGGATTCCCTGCAGAGTCTTAATAGACCACCTGCTCGACTGTCCCTGTAAGGATGCGTGACAATAGAGATGAAGCATTGCCGGCCAGGGAGCTCACCTGGATAGGGGACAGAGGAGAGTGCTGGGAACATGAGGTCAGAGAATAATTCTATACAATGGGCCCACTGTGCTGACCCCACCTGCTCTCTTTTCCAAGAAGCAATGTACCTATGGCCCTGTCTGGCCCAAGCAGACAGGACATGTCACATTCCTCAGAAAACTGCCTGTTATCTTCAGGAGAAATGCAGACCCAAAATAACAAGGACAAGAGGAACCCAGGTGACCCTGAAGGGGGAGAACTTTGTAACCCCTTTTCAAGGACCAGATCCTGAAACTCAGGGCGATAAGGATAATCCCTCCTAACCTCAAACTCTACAAAACCTATGGTTAAGAATCCAGCCAGAAGCTGGACGCGGTGGCCCACGCCTGTCCATGCCTGTCATCCCGGCAACTCAGGAGGGTGAGGCAGGAGGATGGCAGGTCCGAGGCCAGCCTCCGCAGTTTTACAAGGCTGTTAGCAACCCATTGAAACCTGTCTCAAAATAAAAAGGTCTGGGCATGTCGATCCTTGGTCAGGCACCCTTGGGTTCAATCCCTGGTACAAAAAAGAAAAAAAAAATCCAATTAGAACCAGTCAGCATGGGCCAGAGTGACCTGGATCTGTCATGGCAGAAGGGACTTGAAAGTCTGATGTCATCTTGCTGTCACTCAGAAACAAAAGGTGGGCCCGGTGGGTCTCTGGGAACTTCTCTGGGACCCCCGATAAAACTGGGGTGCAGGAGGGGCACGCCGTCCCAGCCCTCTTTGAGAGGACCCACTCTGTCACCTGAGGGTGTCCCATCCTGTTTCCTGTCCCTTCGGCCCACTGTGCCCGTCACTCTGAGCCACATGTCTGGGATCCTTCTGACCGTGAGAATTGGGCTCTGGCTTGCGATCCTTCCTTTCCCAGAAGGCCCAGCTGTGACGTCCTGAGCCCCGAGGGCTGTGCTTCCTGCTGGGTTGAAACACTGGAGCCACAAGGAGCCCAGCGCTGGGGACGGTGGGCGAGGCCGACTTGACTTCTGCCAGAAGCATGCGCACCAGACAGAGCTCGGTGAGCAAGGGCTCCTGGGCGGCGTGAGCCCCGCGCTCACCCGTCGAAGCCCAGAGGATGAACCAAAAGACCCCAGGAAGAGGAAAGAGCAAGGCTCTAAGGACGGCCTGGCAAGATCAGGTGTCTGGTGCTCAGGGACCCCCAGTTTGGGGACAGCCAGTGTTTTATCCTGTAAAGTGCAAGATCCCCCCTGTCCCTCCTTGGCTGAGAACTCTGGGGTGCACATCTTCCCCACCGTCACCGAGGTGTTGGGGTAGCTGGCGCAGATATCCACAAGGGACCCAGCTTTGAGTCGAGCAAGGTTTGTTGACAGAGAATCTCTCCCAGGCCGCCCTCTGCAAGGGGCAGCAGCCTGCCCGGAAAACCTCTTAACTATCCAAACTATCCAGTCATGTACAATGGAGTGGTTAAAAAGTAACCCGTCTGGTCCTGTGACTGTTACTTGTCTGTCTTTGGTGGATTCGGTAGTTAGGAAAGGTCATGCCTGGGTGGGCAGGTGCTGATTTTCAAAATGGAGTTGCTTTGGCCTGAGAACCTAACACTAGGTTATTTAAAGAAATATACCTTTAGCCTGCACGGTGGTGCACGCCTAGGATCCCAGCGGCTGGGGAGGCTGAGGCAGGAGGATCAAGAGTTCAAAGCCAGCCTCAGCCACAGCGAGGCCCTAAGCAGCTCAGTGAGACCCTGTCTCTAAATAAAACACAGAACAGGGCTGGGGTGGGGCTCCGTGGTCGAGGGCCCTGCGTTCAATCCCTGGTACCAAAGAAAGAAAAAAATATGAACTTGTAGTTGTCCCCACTTCTGTTGGTTCTCTTGAGCGGGAAAGTCCCCCTGTGGATCCTGGCCTTTGGCACACACATAGTTTATCTCTGTCGGCCAGGTGGCCCCTTCCTTCTGGCCTCCTGTCTGTCAAGGGCTGTGGATTTTCACTCTCTGGTGTTAACTGCTGGCAGCTGTTTATTCTGCTCCCCTCCCCAGGCCTCTCCCATCCCAAGTAGCTCAGCATTTCAAGCTGAGCACTGCATTGTGCAGTGGGCCCAGGGCCTTCCACTCCTCACAGGAGGCAGCCCCCTGCTTCCGATCTCTAAGAGGGACAGCCCTGCCCTTGCCCTGACAGGAGGAGCCCATTAGCTAATTTTAAAATTGGGGTGGGCTGGGGACATCATGCTTAGTGAAGGAGGCCAATCCCAGATCACCAGAGGCCCAATGCTCTCTGAGGTGGGGATGCTGACACACAGTAATGGGGAGGGAAGAATAGAAGTTCATTGTCCAGACAAAGGGGCGTGGAGAGGAGGGAGAGGGAGGGAATAGGAAAGCCGGGGAATGAATCTTTCCTATGTGTGCATGATGACACAGCGGTGTCACTCTGCATCATGTCCAACCAGGGGAATAAGAAGTTGTACTCCATGTGTGCATAGTAGGTCAAAATACATCCTGCTGTCACGCACAGCTAAGAAGAACAAGTTTTAAAAATTGGGATAGGCAAAGGGAAGGACTAGAGTTAAAAATGGCTACACTTGGATGTTTATATCCCAATTAAGGCTGAATACTATTACTATATTATCATCATCATCATCATCATTATTATTGTTTTTGGTACCAAGGATTGAACTCAGGGGCCCTCGACCCCTGAGCCCCATCCCCAGCCCTACTTCATATTTTATTTAGAGACAGGGTCTCACTGAGCTGCTTAGGGCCTCGTGGTGGCTGAGGCTGGCTTTGAACTCGTGATCCTCCTGCCTCAGCCTCCCGAGCTGCTGAGATCACATGC